CCATTCCCACCCCATTCCCATTCCCATATTCCCATTCCTGCAGGCAGCAGGAATTCCTGGCCTCGTGCCAGGCTAACCCACGGGGCTCTGTCTCATCTAAAACCCCGGATGGGCTCCAGCTCATCTTCCTCCTCTTGGAAACCCATCCCGAGCTTGCCAAAGCCACACGCTGCTTTGATGGGCCATGATTTGATTGGAAAATTGTCCTCAAAGGCAGGAAAGTTTCCTGCAGCTGCCATGGTCCCGTTCCTGAAGGGATCTTGGGGGAAATTGGAGCGGTCTTGGGGATGCTCAGAAGTGGTTGGAGGTTGTTCCATGGTGTAGAGGCTCCCTCTGCCACAGCAGGAAATCCTTTTGCTGCCAGGCTGTTATCAAAAATTCCAAGGTTTATGTGGTTGTCTGTGGGAGGGAATGTCCAAACACATGTGGAATCAAACCAGGAGCAAATCCAGAGGAGAGCTGGGAGCGTCCAGCCTGGAGAGGAGAAGGCTCCAGGGAGAGCTCAGAGCCCCTGGCAGGGCCTGAAGGGGCTCCAGGAGAGCTGGAGAGGGACTGGGGACAAGGCCTGGAGGGACAGGACACAGGGAATGGCTTTGAGCTGGAAGAAGTGGATTTAGATGGGATATTGGGAAGGAATTCCTGGCTGGGATGGAATTCCCAGAGCAGCTGTGGCTGCCCCTGGATCCCTGGGAATGTCCAAGGCCAGGCTGGATGGGACACTTGGAGCAGCCTGGGATGGTGGGAGATGTCACTGCCCATGGCAGGGGGTGAGAATGGGATGATCCTTAAGATCCTTTCCCACCCAAACCCAGCTGGTTTTCCATGATCCATGAATGAATTCTGGCGTCGTCACAATTTGGAAGCAGTGACATCACTCCAAAGTTGGAAAAGGGTTTTGAAGCACATGGAGAGGGCCTGGTGAGGGAAAAAAAAACCACAAAAACCCAAAAAAACCCACCACAATCCATGAGCCAGCCTGGGGCTCTGTAATGGTGGAAGTTTGGAAGGAATTCTGTGCTAAGGTGACAGCAAAGCTGTCCCTGGTGTCCCCTGGGAGGATGTGACCTCCTTGTCCCACAGAGAATGACATTCCCACCCACCCACACTGTAATTCCCAAAGAATTTAGCCAAGCCCTCTGGGATTTCAGTGGTTTTGAAGATGGGGCATGGCACTGGGGACAGGGGGATTGTCCCAGACAGCTGAGATAAGGACATAACCACAGCTTCCTTGGCATGATCCAGAGCCCCCTGGGGACACTGCTCTTCATTTGAAATCTAACCACAGAGTGGGAATTGTTGGG